AAAAAATTGAAGATAATTAATTGAAAATGAAAAATTCTTTATAGATTCTTTTACTCTACTTCGCTATTCACTTCAATCATTAGTCGAATTCTCTTTGATTCATTATCAATATTTATAAGGTATTCATGAGAAAATGAAATTCAATGAATTCCATTTCTTCATTTCAACAAATGAATAGATCAGAGCGCGCGCATAGATCTTGTGAGTAAAAAAAACACATCGCAGCAGCCCGGGACAAGATTTTTTTGTAGTGATTTTCAAGTTTTCGAGTTTGGGAAGTATGCAATACCAATTCCTAGACGAGAAAACGTGAGAAGCAGTACAGAAAAAATATTTTTCATCACGCTGTGACGAAAAGTGAACTTTTCGGCACGCTCCGCGTGCCTAAAAGTCCAATTTCCGCCACATTGTGATGAAAAATATTGTTCGTAACTCGTGAAAAAATGTTTTTTAGCTCGTGGGATTATATCACTCGCCTTCGGCTTGTGATATAAACCTCTCACTCGCCAAAAAACACTTTTTTGCACTCGTTACGAAATATATTAATCTGACGAAAATACTTTAGAATCCGAGTCGGAGGCGAGGATTATAATCACATGAGTCATAATACTTTTATCGCCGTGTGACATAAGTACAATATTTTATGTCATGGGCCCGAAAACCGCGATCTAACCGAGGGAAGAGAGTGAACTGGAGTTCTGTACACTCAGAGCGTAGTATGAAAACAATTAAACAAAGATGTTTAGTTGCGTTTACCTGACAGTAATGACATCCCCCATTCCCAGATGAATGCCATTCATCTGAGCGATGAAAATGGAAGCAACAGCCTCATAAAGAGCTGTTCCATCCATGTTAACTGTCGCACCGACAGCGACAGCAAATCTCGTAACTCGAGAATCGACTTTATTGTTCTCCTCAAGGCATCGAAACGTAATCGGCATAATTGCAGCGCTGTAATAGAACTCAGATTGAACCCTGGCAATTTCCTTGATTGCGAGGTATGAATTACCTAGAGGCGGTGGCGGCTGCTGCGAGCCAGGCTGGAATCATCCCTCGGAAGTAAGTTAGGGGGTTCCGACGGGTAACGAGCCAGTATATCAAGGGAAGGGTCACCATTCCGTGAATCAAGAGACCTACGGTCACTGTCACCATGTAGAGACCCAACATCTTCGCGGTTGTGACTAAATTCGATATGGACATTATTTTTCCGGCGATTAAACTCATTATTCCAATCGGTGAATACCTAGTTATTACAAAAATGGTCAAATTTGAGGGTTGTACTAGCACACAAAAAATGATAAATATAAATGAACGTTGCTTAATACAGGGTGACGTCAACGCTCAGTTTACAAATTATGAGGAAATATAGAATGGAAAATCAGTGATTCAAAGGCATAAGAATTATGAAATTACGATAATAAATTTTTGAATAGTGGGCGTTAGAATTTTTCAATGATTTACCCGACAACATCATGGTACACTGGGAGAAAAACAAATACGTTGTCAAACAAGACTTGTTTGGGCCAAGAAAATCACTAGTTGAAAATTTCCAAAAAAGAATTTGTTTGATTCGAAATTGAAAGTCTCAAACATGAATAATTGTTCTGCTTTCGACAGCAGCGAAATATTTGGCTCAAAAGGCGGATAATTCACCCCAGACGGTGCATTTCAGGATGAAAATATCTCATATAGAGGAAAATTTATCAACAAAATTTTATCCCTAAGTTACAAGATTGCTATCATATCATTATTATTGTTTCATTTAAGGGTTAATTTCTTGTCTGTGATTATTAGACACCCGGAACGAAAAACTGTTGTCCCTTATTTCGCATAAAACAAATATTTTTCGGGAGCAAAATCCGTATGGGAGTATCGAATAACGAAGGAGTAGTGCTAGAAATGACATTTCTGCGTGTATGGAGAATGCAATTTTTTTTAACTACAAAATCTATTTTTGCGACAAAAATTTTTCATCCCGGCGCATTCTCTGCATGTTTAGCACGAAAAATTCTTTTTTGATAACTTTCAAAAAACTATTTTCTTGGCGCAAGTAAGACTTGTTTGAGAACTTTGTCGGTTTTCTCTCAGTGTAGTCTCCCGCCATGCCGCCACGATGGAAAATAGTGATGGTACGTCAATTATGTCGATATTGACAGCAATGATTTTAGCGACATTATGCGCGCTAGTTGGAACACCATTGTGTGCGATAGTTTGAGCAATGTTCATTGCAACCATGAACCGATAATTTTATCAACATGAAGAGCGATATTAACTATCATATCGAGACCCATTGACAACTGAGTCATCGTTTCAAATTATGGTGGTAGTCAATCGCAATGTACACGGAGAGAAATTTTATAGAAAAATTCTAGTACGAGTACTGGAAAAAATTACAATCCACCGGCTGTGAAAAATTCTAGTGCTGTTAAGGTAAAATTTTTTCTTATTTCTGGTAAAATTTCTGGGGATTTCTGCGAATTTTTCACAGAAATACGGGGAAAAATTCACGTTTTCCCCAATAAAATTTCTAGTGCCGGCACTGGATTTTTTTCCTGGCCATCACTTTGCGCCTCTTTTCGCGTGCTAGCACTAGAATTTTTCTAAAAAATTTCTGTCCGTGTAATTGGCTGAAGTATTCAAAAATTCTAAAGTTCACCATTTGAAAGTCTATTATCGGAATTTAGTCATTTTAGTACCATTGAATTCTCGATTTTCTATTCTATATCTGCTTGAAATTTGTAAACAAAGTGCTGGCGTCACCCTGTATAGCGTTAATGTCCCAGTTATTGCCATTTGAAGCCTGTCGCGTCCTTTCGGAGCATCTAATAATAGTATATTTCGTAACGAGTGCTAAAAAACATTTTTTCACGAGTTACGAACAATATTTTTCATCACAATGTGGTGGAAATTGGACTTTTAGTTTAAGTTCACTTTTCGTCACAGCGTGATGAAAATACATTTTTTTTCATCAAGTGCGTGTAAAGTGAAATTTTACCTTGAGAAGGTAGCCCTCGTCTTCGGAGAGCGCCATTTTTTTTATTAAAGTAAATTTCCAATTGATATTCTCTAAAACTTTTTTGAAACCTGTGAGGGTGGCAATGACTGTTACATTGATGGCATTGTATTGTTTTATGAAGGTGTTCCATCCTCATAAAGAAATAGATAAAAAATAGGGGGATAAAATTACCCGACAGTGAGGTTGATTTATTTAAAATGAGATATTTCATCTCTACCTGACAAGAAATCATTCTTTTCAAACGGGGTTATTTCATCTCCTGGATGAAGAGGGTTAAGCACCCCAAAGAAACGGTTAAAATATATTAAGCAAAAGTTGATTTAAATTTATCGTTTTGTGGGTGTGTGGCTAATGATCATTAGTGGAGGAATCCGAGGCATCGAATTTACCATAGAATGATGAGACTGACGATTTTCATGACGATTTCATTAAGAGCCTCGAAGAAATCGACCATGACTTGTCCTTTCTGTCCCATCTGGCCCAACAGTAATCCAAATGTAATACAAAACATTATCATTCCCATGACATTCGTCCCATCTCTGTAAATCAGTTGATGCTCCATTATATACTCCGTCTTATTTTCCTTTCCCAAGGATGTAACCACCGGCGTCTTCACGTAGGAGGACTGGACTTGCTGCAGGCAAGCTTGTACCAAATTTTCTGGCATCAAGTTTCTATACATTAAAGAGTGAAAAATTATGGTAATAACTGGAGCTGCGGTATACAACATACTGCAATAATTGATGGCTGAAGACGATCCTTAAATTCAGTAGCAGTGGTAAACCGGTCTAAGTTGACTTATCTCTTAGTTGAGTTTTTGAAGAATATCGCCGAATCTAAAGGAGATAACGAAATTTTCATAATGACCTTTTTTCTAGAGCAAATTGAGTGCTACAAAAAAGGTCTCAACAAAAATTTAGCTATGTCTCTTAGAATCCGAGAAATTCCCTAAAAACTGGCCAATAGTCAAAATTGACTTAAACCGTTTTACCACTTCGCTACTGAATTGGACATTCCGTATGTCACATTGAACGAAATTTGTGTAGAATTACCGTAATCTGTAATTTTGTTATTGCAAATTAATCGGATGTTTTTCTGGTGAAGAAATCCAAACAATTCTTTCAATTCGATAACATCTTACTACAATCTCCATGTTTTTTCGCGTAACAATATTCCTTCTGATTCGAGATACGAAATGCTTAGGTACTTCCAGGTAATAGTTGGTTCTAATAAAATTATCTTGGTAAACGTAATTTTTTCTGTCAGTCTACGAATTGGATGAAATACCTTATGATGTCGAGCATTGCATCTACTGTTGACATACGTTGATTCAAAGAGTTGTCCTGGTGTGAAATCACAGGAGTGATGTTCTTAATTCTGGGATCACCAGGGTGAATCGTCATGACGACAGCTATTCCTAGGATCGCAGCTAAAACTGTTGTGGCTAAGTAGTAGCATAGGGCTCGGCAGCCCATTCGTCCTGAACTCTTGGCGTCTAATTTTGCCATCCCTTTCCGGAATAGTGGAAAATATTAGCATGAATAACTAATTCACTCAGCTCAATTGCGGAACAGATGAAGTTGGTTGTAATGAGCTCTCGAGGCAAGAGAAGTAATAGTATATTGTGCACCAAGTGCGGAAAGTCATGTTTGGGAGGCAAAAAAAAATTTTGTTTATGTGAATATGAATCCAGAACTCGCCTTCGGCTCGCCCAGTATTCTTCATATTCATCAGAAATAGCATATTGTGCCGAGGGGCTACTCATTTCCGAAATCACGTGAAATGACCGAAATCAAATGATTTCAGTTCTCCAACATCATTTTCGCAATCATCTCCGAAATCTCAATGAAATCACCGAAATCAGTGGCGCACTAGCGTAGTACGAACCGTGCAAGTAATTCGTGATGTGGAAATTGACACACCTGCCAATGATGATAATAAAATGTCGAACCCCCTGCCATAGTAAAATGGTAAAATGGATCGCTTTTCATCGTCATTAGCTCAAAGCTGGCGAAGTAGAATCAAATGAATTCGTTATTATTTGCCAATTAATATTGCCAGTTTTGATTTTCATAATTGGACACAACCTGTTTTGCCCCACCTCTATTATTTATTAACTTTATTTTTCTGAAATCATTGATTTCGAATTAATGAAATCATTCGAAATCATTCGAATGATTTCATTAATTCGAAATCATGAAATCACCTTCCGTGACACTTGAAATCACCGAAATAATTTTTTCCGAAATCACTAAAATCACCCGAAATCGACTTCATTTCGAAGTCATGTTTTCCGCACCCGAGATGCACATGCTATTTTAACACGCCTGCAAAGGAATAGTACATTACATGCCCGAGCCTTGGTAAACAGATCACCGTCCCCCACGTGCAAGATTGCCTTCCGAGCCGAAGGCGAGGATGGCATGCACGTGGGGGAGAGTGATATATGGACGTCCGCATGAAAAGGGAACACTTTGTCGATATGGTGTTATGTCTACTCTGATAATATTGATAACATTCCGCACATTTTGAGCCCAAAATGATCTTCATAGGGTCAAAAATGATGTCGTTGGAGAAGATGGAAAAAACAATTTAACATTGGTGCAAATGGAAGTTGCTGACACAAAAACGTGAATATCTCGGAAACTAGAATCGACAAAGTGGCCCCTTTTCATGTGGACGTCCACATATGTTTTCCATGGCGAGGTGTGTATATTAATTCTGGTGTCGAGGGATCTAAAAAGCGCCAATTTCGTGGCGCGCAACGCCACGAAAATGGGGTTTTTCAGGTCCCGTGACACGAAAAGTTTTTATTTACAAAAGAATCTCGTCCTGTTGGAAGACTTCTTCTTTCAGTGTTCTTCTTTTCTTTCAGTGTGCACCCATGAAAAGTGGACTTGGATTTTAAACATAGGACGTATTACACGTGTGTCCAAAAAAGTGAAACTTTACGCACTAGTAACACAACATGCTTTCTCGTCACTAGGCCCGATAAACCGCGATTTAACCGAGCGAAGTGAGACATGACAAAAAATATTGTTCGACACACGGCCGTAGGAACTGTTCTACCTCATATGATTACAGAACTCGCCTTCGGCTCGTACTGTAACCTCATACACTGAGAAAAATTTCAATGGTAATTTCAACTACAAGGGAATTGTCAAAATAATAATAGTTACGGTAACAATAAACATTGTAGATTCAACTATTACATTAAAGTGAAAATTACATCATAATGTGGATGACACTTTTAGACATAGTAAATCGAAGGATGAATCCTAGTTGAATCTACAAAGTTTATTGTTACTGTAAATATAATTTCTTTGACAATTCCCTTGTTGTTAAAATTACCATTGAAATTTTTCTCAGTGTATTCGCCAGAAAAGTTCAGTGTCGAAATGAACTATTGCAATACCTACCTAAAAAGTCCACTTTTCGAAACGGTTTAGTGTGCGTGAAGCGGTGGTTTTCCGCACGTTCTCGAGCACTTGCGCCCAAAAACAACTTTACCCCTACTACCCTTCCGAACAGTGAACTCCGCAGGTATCACAAAAAATGGGACGTCTTACACGTGCGTGCGAAAAAGTGGATTTTTACGCACTAGTAACACAATATACTAATCGCCACGGCGGTTTTGAACAACTTTTCGCATGTGCAGCAAAATCCTTCAGTGTAACTGCAGTTTTACTGCTTTATTCGGAAAATCGCTGTGTTCTTGTTAATATTCATCGTGGATTCATCGAAAATTTATGGTATTTTCTTAGCTCACGAAATTATTTCTGCGATATTCGGTCATTCTTCACTCGGTAGGGAGAGGAGAAAACGATGATAACGCTGGATAATTTATCAGAAGAGCGACGTTTTGCTCAATATTGTACCTCCCGCCGCTTTCAACATAATGAACGCTTGTCAAAAGTTGGATGACGCTGAAATATTCAGTGAAATGAGGTACTTATAAGGACTCGACCAGCGTTGTCAATCTTTCCCCCAATATTTCCGATTTCCGACTAAAGTTTATAAAGATGGAGATGAATAACATAAATTTCAAGATATTGGGAAAGGAAAATAAATGCCAAAGCGGAATTGATTCATTTTCATAGAATAATGGATAAAAAAGGATATTACCGGTGATTAACGAAGAGATGATCAGTGGCAAAATGAACATCTTCAAAAGCCGCATGAGAATTTCCCCAGGAAAACTAATTAACATGATACTTTCGTCTGAGAAATTCCAAAGACGCCCCAGGAATCCGAAACCAAATCCAGTGATAACTCCAGCCACCGTCAGAACTAGTAGCAAATTTTCCGTCATCCATTCTTCAATCTTTACGAGTGCTCCCTTTCGCTGAGTAGTCACGACATTGGTCTCGTTATCCACTGGCATTTTCCCGAGAGCACCGATATTAATCCTAGAAATATAATTATCGGACAAGGAATACTTGCACCACATACACGGAGAGAAATGTTCAGTAAAAATTACGGAACTCACAGTTCGCTCACCGATTCCGTAATCGGAATTATGAAATTTTTCTCTACAAAAATTACGTGATTTCAAGTAAAAATTACGTGACATCCGCAAAATTTCCCACAACCACATTTCGCTCCGGAATTACGGAAAAGATACGTACAGTGCTTGTCTTCGTACAAGATACTAGGCCTGAATCCGTGCCGAGTGATACCCCCACTTTCTGGCTTGAATGTTTTTCGTTTCGTATTCTCCATACAAGATACCCGACAAAAGGGCTAGAATTGAGTGGGAATGAAGTTAAGATATTGCAGAAATTACTAAAAATATATGCATCTATGATCTAGAACTTAATTGCACATCAATTGAATTTCAAAACAAATGGGCACTCGTTGCAGTTAATAAAAACATTAAACGCGTCGTTCATAAATCTTGATAAAATATTAATTTCCTTACACGTATTGCATTATGTTTTTTACGTCAATTTTTTGGATGGATAGATAGACAAAACACAACAAAATTCCACCCACTTTTTATGAAAACCAAAATTGCAGGGAAAGTCTCAATTTTGGCTCGCAGCCCTCTGTTAATAAACTAACTTATTCCGAATTTCTAAATTGTCATTTTGAAAACAATACCTTCTAATGAAATATTCGTGTCACATCAGGAATCGTATTCAAATGATCATGAAAAATGGAAATCGTCTAGTATCTTGTACGAAGAATATTAAATCAAAATATTTTCTTCTCTGAGCGCAAGTAAAGTGAGGGATACGTAATTCTCGGAATTTTATTCCCCTACAGTCCCTGTGGTACCTTGTACAGAGATTGAACTGTAATTTTTATTGAATATCTTTCTCCGGGTAGAAAATTGTGTCTTACCAAAGTGAAAACTCAAATCAGGCTAGAATAAGACTAATAGTAGAAATTGATTTTCATCAGTTTTGAATCAGCAATGCAACGTTTGTTTGCATCCATGGCTGACAAAATGCCAGGATGCGATCTTTCTGATTAGTATCTGACCCGAAATGGATCGAGTCCCAATTTGACTTGTCAGTTTAGGATCGAAATTCACTCCGTCATATTGGATCCTGATACACTGAGAAAAAAATTTCCCAACAATTAGTGTGCTGTCCCCCAACGCCGGGACATAACATGGGGTCGTCGAAAAATTCATAAGTGGCACCCTAATTTTTGGTGGGACTCCGGCCACTTTTTCGGGGGATTCCCGTAAAAATTAGTGTGCCACATGCGAATTCTCCGATGACTCCCTGTTATGTCCAAGCGTTGGTGAACAGCACACTAATTTTTTGAAGGATTCTCACAAAATTACGATGTATTTTTTTCTCCGTGTACATGGTAAAAGTATACAGGGTGTCCCAAAATTGATATCGCGAGGGTCACTCTGGGGGACTCTAATGAAACTTTTGTCTGCGACGCTTCCTTAAGGGGTAACGGAAGCGGTCGCAAAAGTTTGTTTTCTCAACCCATTTTTCTCCGATTGTGTCCCATATGAATGATGATTGTGTCCATATGATGATGAAATTTTCACCAAGTATTGAGGGGATTCTGAGGGTTGTCCTCCATCTATTGTTTCCAGATTTGTTGCGAAAAGAAAATTGCAGAAAACTTGACACAGCTGATGCTGAAAAATAATGGGTGGAGAAGAACCCTTAGACTCCCGTCACTACCTTGTGAAAATTTCAGCCATTTATATTGGGTACAATCGGAGAGAAATGGGTTGAAACCAATAAACTTTTGCGACCGCTTCCGTTAGCCCTTAAGGATGTATTACGCCCTTTTCGCCAAAATTCCCGTTTTTTGAATTTCAAATTCAAAGGCAAATTGTTAATCGGATTGACGTGAAAAAATATACCGTTTTTGCGTTTTATCATTACTCAATGACTCACGAAATTTCATAATCGTGCAATCATTTTCCTGCGTTTTTTCTAAAACTTTTCGGAAATTCACAAACTTGAGAAAAAATGCAGGAAAATGATTGCACTACCATGAAACTTCGTGAGTCAGTCAATAATGATAAAACGCAAAAACGCTATATTATTTCGCGTCAATCCGATTAATAATTTGCCAGAAAAATGAAAAAAAACGTGACTTTTGGCCGAAAGGGTGTAGTACATCCTTAAGGGATTTCCCAAGACAATTTGGCCCCCGAGGTGCCCTCATAATGTCAGATCGTTTTGGAACACCCTGTATAATTATTTTTTACTATGGGAACATCGTAATCGAGGACCATACCCGCCACACTCAAAATTTACTGTTGAACATAGTAAAAAGTGCGAGTCGGTATAGTACCAAGTGGTAGAATAAAAGTAAAATTTAATTTGGCACGAGTAAGATTTCGGTTAAGGATGTTACTCTTTCCGCCAATGTTCACCTTTTTTCTGGATTTCTGACAAACTATCAATCGGATTGACACGAAAAAAATATACCGTCTTTGCGTTTCATCATTATTCAATAACTCACGAGGTTTCATCGCTGTACAGCCATTTTTCTGCGTTTTTCCAAACTTTTGCAAACCTTTTGCAGTAAAATGGTTGTACAGTGATGAAACTTCGAGAGTTATTAAATAATAATAAACCGCATAAACGGTATATTTTTTCGAGTCAGTCCGATCGATATTTTCCCAGAAATCAATGAAAAAGTGAAAATTGGCTGAAAGGGGGCAGAACATCCTTAAGATGAATCAAAATTAAAAATTGTTTGGGTATGGTCCTTGATTACTATGTTCACACGGACGAAAAAATTGAATACGAAACCCTATCGAATTCGTTAGAAAATTCTATTGAATTTCTATTGCACTGTTCTTTTAGTTTTTGGCCGATTCTATTGAAATATTCAATAGAAAATATTCACTAGAAAAAGTCAATAGAATTCAATTTTTCTATATAACTTATTCTATTGAGATATTTTCCATAGAATTTCCTCGGCTCAAATTTTCCAAGTTTTTTTCTAAGTTTTTTCTAAGTTCGATTTTCTTGATGAGAAGAAAAGAAAAATAGAATGAGAAAAACTTGGAAAATTTGAGTCGAGCAAATTCTATAGAAAATATATGAAAAGAATAAGTTATATAGAAAAATCGAATTCTGTTGACTTTTTCTACTGAATGTTTTCTATTGAACATGTAAATAGAATCAGCCAAAAACTAATAGAAAGTTTAATAGAAATTCAATAGAATTTTGTAACGAATTCGATAGGTTTTCCTATTTTTTTTGTCGTGTGTGCACATTGTCATTGTTAATTTTAGATTCTCTCCATGCACTCCATTGAGAATCTTATTAGATCCTGATACGAAAAGTCAATCAAGGAATTTTCATCAGTGTTAGATCTAAAACTGATTTTTCGAATTAGACCCAGGTGAACTGAGCGAAATTTTTACTCGGGTAATTACGCAGACCCATGAACTTTACGCATCCTGCACAGATCCCTCCCCCCTCCCGAAAACTAAGTGATCCGCTCGTGCACGCATTAGGAACAATTAAATTTATCTATGACTTCAATTACGAGTCATCCTGTTTGATTTCGAACGGTCGGCCTCGAAGAACTGCAACAGCGCCGGAGATCCTCCGCCCGAAAGACACGGACATTTCTTCAGAGAAGGAAGACAAATCCAACGATACTCTGTATCATCACTAATGAGGGGTTGAAATTTTCAAAATAATTTCGCAACAATCACGATCCAGACGTCATTTCGAATCACTTCTTCACTCAATTGTAATGAATTGTCCAACGGATAACTCGTTGCCCGACTAAAGAATGGTAATTCCTGAGGATATTATGATAATGAAGTAGAGGGATAATTTTAATTAACTGAAAAAACTCAAGAGGATTTAGATTAACGGGAGAGGCCCACGCACGAGGCAGTTCAATACTTGTTTGAGTGTCAAACAATTGGGATTCGCAATCAGGCTGCTGATGTGCCCCATCCAGGAAGCCCGAAGAGTGGGACGGGTGCAATAGACCCACGAGTAGACGGAGAGGAGGGAAACCACAGGAAGAGGTCACTCATGAAGATCTCAGTCCACTGGGGTGGGACTTTCGCTTAATATTCAATAAACTCATTAAATTCGTTCGAGCAAAAATAACGTTAGATTCTCTCCTGTTGCGGTTACTGGAAAATTCCATCCCCTCAATGCCAGCTCATAAGTTCTCAATTAAACATGACATCTGAGCTAGTATTAGGGCATTGTGTAACTTTCATACGTCGTCCATACGCTGTTCATCTCTGTAGTAATGTAGTTAAATTATGAACGCGATGGAGATTAATTTTTGTAGACAGCAGGAGGTGATACAATTGAATGATTATTCAATCTGTTGTCGGTTGGTCATTCTGTGAGACATCGAGTTAAAAATATGATAAGACTAGGAACAAAGAATAATGGAGTAACTGATGCTCATGAGCGTTATATTTTCGATTTATTAAATGGTGCCAGAGGATTTGAACATAAATGTTCTGGATTGTTGAATCAAGATTTCCGTCATTTCATTTCTGCAAGAGATTTTTAACTGGTTGAATAAAAGTGGTAGTTTGTTGATAGGTATAATGGTATTTGAATAGAAATTATTGGCGTGGAGGAGAATTTGTGGAATAGTCCAGTTTCAGTTCTCATACACTGTTAGAACTTTCACGGACAATATGATAGGAATTCTCATGAAAGTGACATTGAATCCGCTTTAAGAGAAAAATGGTTATGAAATTTCGAGTTTTAGGTAGAATTCAAAGAAATCCATGAGTTTTCAGGGACGTGAGGCGGAAATTTCACAACTTGACTGAATTTTCAATGGAACAAGAATATTCAGAAACAAAATGACACGGATTTTCAATTTTTCCGAATTTTCACGGAATTGTTGAACTGAAAAATCAAGCATTAATACGGGAAAATTCATTGATATGGATGTGAAATTTTGACCCATAGTAGGGACTATTAAGCTCAAGTTCGGTGCACAATTTCAGCCCGATCGGTCCAGTAGTTACTGAGATATTCAACTTTTCGTAGAAAACTATTTTGGTCAATATCTCGAAAACCATTTGATCGATTTCTTCTTCTTTTTCGTCTCGATGTCTTCTATCTAGATCAATCGAAATATGTTCATACAAAGTTTTCGAGATATTGCCGATTTATCATTTTTCCCGAAATTCCTTGTAGGCACGATAACTCGACAAAAAATTGAGATAGGAGGTTGCAATTTGGTATGATTGTAGCTCTTATAATACCAAAAGTTGGTATTTTGGATGAGTAATATGGGTCTAGCAGTTCCAGAAATATTCATCTTTTTGTATAAAACTATATTGGTCAATATCTCACAAACTAAAATTTTTTTTTAGCTACTGTCATCTAATGAAACATTTCTTCTCGCAGGTTCTTGTGGGAAAGAAGCAGGAATGTTTTTTCTTCTCATTTTGAGTTTTCACTGATTGTATGACTGTTGATAACTGTGAGGAATGCATTTCTAGATTACGTTATCTAAAACTTTATTGATGCTTGTTAACTAATGATATTTTCAGGGTCTCTGCCGCAATAACAATTTTTCCATAAAAACCGATTCTTGCCTGAGCTCTTCAACTGGGTCATTGATGATAACTTCTCGACAAATTGTCGTCATTGGGTTGTCTGAATTGTTTTTTTTTTCAGCAGGACATTGTCTTCTCTTATGAATGTCGATAGAAACCATGAAAAAGCAATAAAACAAGTGTTATAAGACAGAAATTCTAATACTAAAAGAACAGAAAAGAAGAAAGATGTTATTACTCCCTCACGATTCAAAGCTTTCCCATTTTATTAATTTCCTCTTCGTCCGTTCAATCGAGTATAAATAGTTAGTTAATTAGAAACAGAATATGCGATACAGAAAAGTCATTGAGACATGGAAAATTATACAAGACAATTGGTTATATTTAATGAATATATTCAACTATCCTGTATGGAACATGATAAAATTTAAAGATACTATAGTTAGCACACTCTGCACGCAAATCAACGCGCATATGCCAAACTATTAAAGTAATACATTGGAAATGAAGTAATTCTTTTCTATCCAAACTCTGAGTTTGTGTTATCATTGTTATCGTTCCTTGATGGTTTTTTATTTAAAAAGAGTCCTCTAATGTCCCACGATCAGCTCACTTGATGAGAATTCGCGATTAATCGTGGGCAAGAGTGGGTTTAATTCGGTTTTCAAACTTCAAATTTATTTGTCATCAATGATAAATGACTCTTCTTTCACGAAAAATTCTACTTCCTCCTCCTCGACGTTCTTCGTATCAGAGTCTAGGGTGTCTGTGTCGATATTGCTGCGTAGTTCAAGGCGACGTTTCTTTTGGGCATTCCACTCGTTGAGACGCTTCTCACGGAATTCATTGAATTCCTTCATCAATTGACAACGCTTTTCGATTAATTCCTGCAAAGAAATAAAATATATCAACGTGAGAATCAAAACACTGTTATTATATAAATTTTTGAAGGTGAAGAATGGAGAGAGTATTTCCACGTCAATACAACATGGTCATACCTTGATTTCCCGTCAATTTAGCCCCTAACTGAGTTTTCGAGGCTTATCTCCGAATCTAAGAGCGATGGTGAAATTTATGTAATGACCTTGTTTGAAACGCAACTAAAATTCCAGAACATTCTGGTCGACTATCGGCCTACTTCGAAAATCTCCGGGACCCTTCGGGTCATCAGTCATAAGTCACCGAAACACGCGCGAATCAGTTTAGGCTTAGCCTCTCACCGTACAAGTCTATCTCGGGCAAATCACCTGTACAAGTTTTATATCGCACCTCACCGAGTACAGTAGCTTCTTGAATCTCACCTAGCTCACTAGTAATCAAGTACATCACCGGTCTTTGTAAGATCACCGTTTTGTTCAGTACATCACCTCTGTTGATTAAATCCAGTCTAAATTCAGTGAATCAACGAATTAACAGTGAAAGACAATTATCAGTATAATTAGACATTCAACAATTAAATTACCAAAGAGTGTAAATAGTTTTGACAAAGTGGTTCGATCCCACAAAATAAAGTGTGATTTTTTAAATCCGGCTCATCAGTAATTTTCCCAACATCTTCCTCCACATTTTCATTCCACATCCACCCTAAATCTAGTCATTCACCAAACAGACCTTTTTTGTAGAGTGAATTAAGGGCTATAAAAAAGGTCACGACGAAAATTTTGCTATCTCCCCTAGATTTCGAGATATTCATTGAAAACTGACCAAAAAATAGTCAAAATCAACTTGAACCGTTTTACCACTTCGCTACGGAATTAAATGTGTTGCTTTCCGGGTTTATTAAAAACTATGAAAAATGATTGCACGATTGTAAAACTTCGTAATCTTCCCCATAAATGGTAAATAGGACATGACCAGACTCTTCCAAATGAATCCCATACTGACCTTAGAAGCTCTAGTCAGCCTCATACGATCCTTGCTCTCGAACTGAGCCGAATACTTCTTCAAATTCTTCTTAATCTCCTTGATCTGCTCAGGTGTCAACAGAGTAGGTGGTCTTGGTCTCCACAAGAGCTGATTGAAGGCATTAAGATTGACTCTCTTAAGAATTCTCCCCTGGAACGTCCAGACCCAGTACCCATTATCGACAGTGGTCTTCCAACTGGAAACAGCAGTTACAACGTATCTTCCAGTAGGATCCCATTCGACATCAGACGTCTGATAATGATCAGTGGAATTCATGATAGTGAAATCATTCGTGTCAATGAACTCAAGGGCCCCAGCCATGGTGGTGAGTCCAGCAAGCACGATGAATTGGCCAGCAGGGGACCAGAACAAATGATTGCAAGCCTTCTTCTCCAGTTTCTTGAGCAATGCTGGTTGATGACCAAACCTTACTTCATAAAAGCTGACGTTCACACTTGGAATTTCCCCGTGAATGATGGCGAATTTGCTGCCAACAGGCTCCCAGGCGAAAGCATGAATAGGCTCTTTCATTTCCACACTGTCCACTGGAATCTGTTTCTCCCTCATGTGGAAGATCTCGAAGTTGTAAGACATTCCAGTGTACTTCTGCTCTGTCTTCTCCTTCTTCTTGGCGAAACGATCGACTTTGACGCAGAGATAATCACCAGATTTCTGCCAGAAGATCTTGCAATCAGCGACGTTGAACAGATTCTTATTACGAATTTCGTTCCTGTTGGGGATCTCTAGGAGAGTCACACGAGCCGGAACATTCTTGTCCTCGGGGACCCAGTAAGCCAGGACATTGTCAGTTGGGGACCAACTGAAGTCTCTGATCCCTGGGGTTTTTATACTCTTCTTGTCCAGAAGACCGAAGGAGGGAGTCTCGTAGACACTCAAGACATCTTCACCCATGCACGCCAGGTATTTGTCGTCGTGTGACCATCTGAATATGGGCCAGACTGAGGAGACATCGGGGTAGAATGATCGTTTTTCATGGCCGGTGAGGATGTCCCAGATGACAAGACGTTTCGCGTCCGGCGAACCGTCCAGTCTGGGGGTGAAGGAGACGAGGTATTTTTCGCAGGGAGAGAAGTCGATGCACTCAACGCCTCTTTGACTGAAACGAGCCTGTTGGGTGTAGTCGGGACCTCCCCACAGAGCTACACCGAGCTTGTGGAAGGTGGCTAGGTAGGTTCCTGATGGGGACCATTTTACGTAGGTCTCAGTCCATCTCTGTAGGAAAAGCAGTGGTCAGAAACAAAATCATCAACATGTGATGGGTTTTACCATCACTTTATTTGCCCATGTCAAACTTTTACTGTCTATGCTGTCATGGAAACTCAATGAATCAATTTTGACAGGCATAGGTAATAGGATTATGAAACATCTGTGCACAATACTAATGAAGAGATTGGCAATTAGTTGCGGATGTTGGGTAGACA